ATTTTAAAACTGTTTTTGGACGCGTTTATGGATTTAAAGTCCGGTTCGCAAGAACCTCTTTTTGTTAAAAATTCCAGGTTAAAATACTTTTCAACTAAGTCAAGAAACTATATTTCTTAAAAATAGGTTTATTAATCCTAACGTAATGCGCACCTTTTTATAAGTGACAATAAGAGGGGTCGATTAGGGATAAACTCGGTTCTGAATACGCGAAAGTGACAGTTCCCATTAAATTAGCTCTTTTCATGAGTAGAAAATATTACCCCATAAGGAATCCTATACGTACACATCTGGAATACTACGTAGCTATATGAATTGCATCTATGTCTGTTGCTTTATTATTGAATTTATTTTTGCGCTTTACTTTTATTTCGCACAACCCAATCCTTTATTTGATTTGCTTTAGATAAACACTGTAACAATAGTGATCGATAGATTGACGTTTGGTCTCTGTGGGATCGATAATCTTTTATATTACTTTGACGCTATTCGTGCACTTGCGAATCACCCATCAGTCTTCTTGAAGCTCTTTGGTTATGAGTCTTGCATCCTTCACCCATATTCAAACCATAATAATTAAGGTTAATATAATGATATCTCTGAGGTGGTACAATTTTCCTTCTTACCATGCCTCTATTAAAATGATATTCAAGAGCCAGTATACATTTTCTCTCACTAGAATTAGAAGTGAGAGTATTAATTTTCTCCTCGTCTCTAATCTCCCTAATAGGAACCTCCACTTCCAATTTAGTCTTTTTCACCATAATTTTTTATTTTGTCACCTCTAAACTTCTCTAAGCCTTAATGTTTTGTTCTCATTAAATTTTCACTGAAAATAACATATCTATTTATGTTGAACTTTTGACCTTCAAGTTCCACCTTCCACAACTTGTAACCCTTTGCACCTTGAGAATAACGAATGAAGACACACTTAAGAGGATTAATATCAAGTTTTTACTTGCTTGATATGTACAACTGTCAAAGTTCATGTTAGAGTATTCAATAGGTTTCTCACTCTAAATATTTATAGGTGTTTTGAAGTTTATTCTTATGAATGGACATTGTCGATCAAATTGTTATACCAACAGCCTTATCCCAGAAACTATTTGGCAACCTAGCTCCCAACAACATGCAACTCAATCCAAGTGACCAAGAGTGACTTGCGCGATTCAACGTCTTAGCAATATATTCCATATACGCATTTTTATCTCGAAGTGTAGGCGCGGTGATTAAAAAGCTAACATGACAGTAGCATCTAATAGACTGAACATTGCATAAAAATGAAACAAGAAAGCAGATAGTAATGGAAATACGTTTGATTGAAGAAATACTCTCATTTTCCTTCCTTTTTTTAACTAGAAGCCTTTAGATAGATAACCCATCCAAGCCTAGAAGTAAGCGAAATGGTTTCTGTCGAGTACAACGGGTGCTTAAGGTGCTAGTACCTTCCTTTTCGCATAACCGACCCCCTTTCCCGTTTCTCTTTCCCTTGGGTTTTATCGATATTTTCCCTGTCCTTTGGGACTAAATAAAGTTCGGTGGCGACTCTGTTGTATCTTTGAGTGTGCGATCCAATCAAGTATAATCCCGTTAGCTTCACACTCCATATTCAACTCTAATGTGATTTCATGGATCATAAAAAATGCTTATGTACAATAAGTTATGCTTAAGCCTGGGAGCATACTTCATATTGCATAAAATAAGCTCACGATTATTGAACATTTTATGTTTAATTGTACCAACACCATTAACTTTGCAAACCATGATTTCACTGAGGCGAATTAATCCACCTTATTTAAGCTCCAACTCAACTCTCCTTTATCTTTAACTCATCACCATTAAAACATTAACATTCTCATAACCATCCACATTGGAGCATAGTCATCATTGTCCCCCTCACTAGAGAATCCTTCTTAAAATGGTCAATTTTATGACAAATAAAGCATTTTAACTTTGGATTATAAAAACCTTTAGATTTGGACTAACCTCTACTCTCACCCCATCATATTTAGACACTCAAGTCTTCACCATTATCGTTAACCTTCCTTTTTTCCATCATTGATAGCTCTGTAGATATTACACATGTCTAGACTTCATCTAATGTGATAGTATCTTCCATATTGTAAAGAAGGGAATCCTTGAAGTTCTAATAGGGTTTGTGTAATGAGCATAAAAAAAGTAGAGTCTTTTCATCATTAACAACCTTCACTTTAATACTTTTTAAGGCATCAATGATCTTGTGAAATTGTGTCAATTATTCTGTAATGGATTTATTCTCTATCATTTAAATTGAGTAAAGTTGTTGTTTTAGATGTAGCCTGTGATCCAAATACTTGGCTATACAATGGTTCAAGCTTGGCTTACATAAAAGTAATTGTTTTCTCTTTGGAAACTTCCTTTTAAAATGTATTTTTGAGGTACAAGATAATAACACTTATGACTTTATCCATAATATCAATGTTCTCTATTTACGTTAGGCGTGCACGCATCAATGCCTCACCGTTCAATACTTCACATGTCATTGTTGAGTTAAGATTTATTGCATATTCACTTTCCACAACTCATAGACATTGTCTTTCGAAAACTTCTTGATGGCCCATTTATAATTTATGGTGGTCACTTGTAAACTTAAGTCATTTGTCCATGGTGGATGCTACTTGTTGCGATATCTGATAATATTTGACCCCACTAAATCCGTTGATGTGTGAGACAGAGAACAATGACAACCAAAATAAATATTCTTAAACAAAATTAATAAATTTGTCAAATAATGTAAACAAATCCACACGAGCAATAATGAAATAAAAGACAAGTGCATGTCTATTTTTGCCTAGTTTGATCAAATTGATTATTCGTGTGAAAATCAATTTATATTATAAATTGTGCCAACAAAAACTCACAAGTGGTGAGTAAAAGTTATCAGTCCACATAGATTTTTTAACTTCTATAAATCTAAGGTTGTTATACACGCGATTAGGTAAACTAGTGATATAAAATATATGGGGTGCGTGTAGCGCAATTGATTTGGTTGTGCAACAATTATAAAAAATTATTAAACCACCCGTTCAAATCCTTTTTTGTTTTTGTGTTCAATCTATGCTTGAATTTATAATAAGTCTTCTTCTATCACAATTATTTTATAAAATAGTTACACACGATTTCTCGCCGCATAACCCGCTTTTTTAATTGCAGTTCTCAATATCTTAGTTGAAGCCACAAACGACGAGGTTTGATCGAACGTAAAATACTTATGTCATGACTGAGTATGCCCTATGTCTAGCGATCATAAACAACCTCTCAAAATTATTCAGTTCAAATATTCAAATCTAAGGTGAGTTATCATTGTGATATACACCGATTCTCCTAATTTTATAGATGAAAAAAATATATTAAACATAAGATAAAATTGAATAACTACAAGAAGTGATTTACTACAAAAACAAAATTTAAGAAGATCACATGTTTCACATTATTAAAAAAAAAATTATCTAAAGGGGACTTAATCTAGAACAAACAGTTGCTCTTTCTTAAAGATTCATGGCCAATATAATAGAAAGAGAGAAATTGTATTTCTCATATATTTGTTAAATCCAAGCTCTCGATCTTAATTGTTGGTGTAGTAGAAAATTATGGTAGGTATGCAATGAATCACAAAAAAGGTTAGAATTTTTAAGCAATGCAAGATGAATGGTGTAATGTGTGTATTACTAAGTTAATGAGAGAACTCACATTACATCTTATTTATAATAACTTGTTGGTTATGTAACCGACTTAACCAATTAACTAACACATAATAGTAACTAACGAACTACCATATGCAACTAATTTGTTAACAATAAACTTAATAAGTTAAACTGAATTTGTTGGCTTAAAATCTCAAAAAAAAATAGTCATTGAAAAATAACAAATTGTTTAGGAGACTCGCATAAAAGAAATGAAATTATGAAAATTTGTTGAAAAATATATTCAATATCACATCATCTATTGAGTTAGGTCTTATGTTTGCAAAGCTTAACTCAATAGATATAACCAACATTGTTAGATGGAGTATTGTGTGCGATTATCTGAATTCGAAGTTAAAACCTTTAATTTTTTTGTAAATTTATATGTGGTGTTAGTCATTCCTCTCCATAGACAAAAAAACAAAAAATTGTTTATTTTGATCTCTAAAAAAAACTTTGATTATTTTATTAAAAAAAAACTTATGTTTGTAAGGCCTAACTCAATAGACATTACCAAGAATATTAGATTGACTATTTTATGTGATTATCTAAATTCAACTTTAGAACCTCTCATTTGTGTATGGATTTTCAGGTGGTGTTAGTCATTCCCTCTATGGACAAAAATAACTTCTAATTTTGATTAAAAAAAATTCTCTAAAAGAAGCTCAAGTCCAAAATTAGTTTGATTTTTTTTTGTCTGTAAATTAGTTTGATTTATTTATCATAAAATATCCAAAAACAATGAATTGTACTTAATTCCACACTGTCTTACATTCCGCCTTTACTCACCCTGAACCAATCTTTATCAGTTTATGTAATAAGGGCACTGTCTGCCACTGATGTTTAGATTACTTTTTAGTGTTGAGATATAATACTACAATTCACTACAACCATGTCTTGCATTGTGTATAAAAGCAAAAAAAAATTAGCATTAATGAGCCTGTGCTGAACCTAGACACCGCGACAGAATCAAACACCAATGTTGTTTATGTAGTTAACCAAACATGATGATGCAATGCAAGCCACACTATGAATCATGACCAACTAATTTGGCGCCGCCTTTCACAGTTTGTACTTGAAGAGGTGCAAATCATAAGTAACAGATGCAAATGTACTTTAAATGAATTCTACGGAGATGAACAAGAAACAAGAATTCACAACCTAGACCTCTACTCTCTGAATCCTTCTAACATCCAACGCACATACATATAAATACTTATTAAAAGAATCGTACACAAAAAGATCGCTAAAATTGTAATGGCTACGAACATACATCAATTACACATTATCTACAGCTGCATTTTGAGCTAAGTCGTTACCAGCTAAAGGATGATAATCAGACTCCACTGCAGATTCTACATCATTACTCTCCTTCGTGAACGAATTACTGTGAAGATCCCTTGCCATTCTAGCTGTGGTATCCAAAAAGTACAAACTGAATGATGTCAAGCAGCAACAAGCAAACATAGGTATCGGTCCATAAATCCATAGGAAGAGAGGAAATGACAAGTAAAATGCTCGCAATCCAAGTGACCAAGAGTGACTTGCGCGATTCAACGTCTTAGCAATATATTCCATATACGCATTTTTATCTCGAAGTGTAGGCGCGGTGATTAAAAAGCTGACATGACAGTAGCATCTAATAGACTGAACATTGCATAAAAATGCAACAAGAAAGCAGATAGTAATGGAAATACGTTTGATTGAAGAAGTACTCTGAAGTATGGAAGACGTGTTATCAGAACTCCACGAACTGCTAGCAAAAATACCGATCAGTGAACTTAGTGTGATCGCTGTTGTAGCAAGAAGTGTCGATGCCATGATATTGTTGCGGAGAGTTTGGACAGCCAAAACACCGTTCTTGAAGGGATCCTGAAAATATAGCAATTGAATTAATAAAAACACAAACAATGTAGCACAAAATCAGAGGCTGAAAAGGACAAATATTTTGATCAAATAAACAATTACAGACTGCTGAGTGTCCAACATAGACAACACAGTCAGCAAGAATATTCAATAATCAAAGACAATTCCTGTATCAAACTCATATACCAATAAGAGTAAATGCCAAGTTCTAAGGAAATCTCATTAACACAACATTGAAACATTACTAGCTACCTAAAGTTCAGAATGTGTTATTTAATTAACCTACAGAGTTAATACACTAGGGGACTTGAAAATAGCAGAACATACAACTTAATCTAGCGAACATGCTTTCAATACTGTATCATATGATCGTCTTGTCTAACATAAAAACTTGAACGATGAGGTCCCGGTGTTTTAGATTCAATGTTGGCCGTGTCCTCAAACAACAAGAATAATGGCATTGTTCAGTTAACCAAAAAAATATAAATTTTTACTGTAATTCCGGCAACAATTTCATATACAAAACAAAAACGGATAAAAATCCTTAGAAATGAGATCATCAAACAGTTTGTGTGCATGATCAAAAAGAGAATTCCTTAGAATGACATTGTTCAAACAGGTGGTGTGCGAGATCAAAAACAATTTGTTTCTATGAATTAGAATAGAAAAGGTATAAACTAAGAATTGACTGACATTCATCATGGCATAAACCCACTGATGACGAGACTCAGCGTTTAAGCCAATGACAGTTCGATGAGGTTCATGAAGAATAGTGAAGAGAAGCCACATATGGTAGAAAAAGAACACCAATAAACCCAATGGCACAAACACATACTCCAAATGCTCCTTCACCATGCTTGATTCTAATTCTATAGTAGTAACTGAAAATTAAGGTAATGTTTGATTCAAGTACTAGGTTTATAACAACCTAGTGATGAGATGAGACCAATCCAAAGACATGAATCTTATTATTACCGAACATGAGTGTGACATTAACAAGTTTAAATCGAAAATTGACCACAACTTGGTTTCTTTTGTTTTTGTTTATCGTGACTTGCAAATTGCAATGCAAGAGGATGATAAATAACAATAGGGCTACGTGACACTCCTAAATTTTTTATTTTTTATTTTTTATTTTCTAAATTATTTTATTTAAAGAATAATTTTTCTAAAATTTTTCATTTATATTTTGTATCCTTCTTTTAACTTGGTTAGGATTTTTACACAAAATTAATAATAATATTACCAACAATTTATTAATTAAAGATTTGATTTAATGACATTTTTAGCAACAGAATAATGTCAGACATTAAAAGTGTAGATGAAAAATTTTATAAATTTTTTTTTAATTTAAAATTTAAAATAAAATTAAATATTTAGGAGTATCCAAAACATATTTATTCCTAAATAATAAATAAGTTCAATAATACTTAGTCAAGTAGCTAATTTTGTAATGATGATTAGTTTAAAAAGTGAATGATGTGGTAATAAATAGTATTAGTTGGTTTTGTTGGGTGGCTGAGTGACAGTGAATCATGAAATCTATTTTGTCTCCATATAAAACATGTTGTCCAAGTTGCTATCCTTTCCAAAGCTTGGGTGGCCAAGCATCGTATTCACTAGGTCTATGTGCTATATATATTCAATTCAAAGTGGTCGTATAATAAAGATACTAAGACTATGATTTGTATATAAAATAAATTATACCATTTTGTTCATTATTTTACTAGAATATATCAAGGATATTTTGTATTACATCTTCATGTTATTCTTTTGTGTTGGCGGATTCATGCATGGTTCATTCATGTAATAATATAAAATTACATTTGTCCTATAATCCGAGATGTAGAAACACTTCTTCAAACTGCCTAAACAAAGATCATGTGATTGATTTTTTTTTCTTTATTTGTTGTTTTAATTTGTGTAGATATTTTTTATTGGCTGTATTTTATGGTAAAACATTGATGTGTGTAGATGTCTTGATTGATGTCATGACATTCGTGTGTAGTGTATTGCAGGGTAAGTTTGGTTAGCTAGAACAGAGTGTATTGGATGTCATGCTGGATGTTATGACATCAAGTAGCGACCAACAAGGGCGCGTGTTTGTTTTTCTGATATAATGCATGAGTTAGCTCAGGCTAGATTTCAAGAAACATTTTAGGGTTCGTAGTTATCTCAGGCGAAATGTTAGGCAGTGCTGAGCATAACACGAAATGCCTATGACCTAATTGAAACAACCCTGAATTATGGAAAAGGGTTTAACTTGGTTAAACCTAACTTCTTCCACTTAGGACAAGGTCTATGCGTTGCATATAAATAAAGAAGTGACAATCCTGATTATGGACGTACTTAGAGATTGTGAGTGAAGAATTCTGTTGGTGTAACTTGTTCTTCACATGGTTTTTTGTGTGTCTTAGGATTTCTTGTGAGCCAAGCAATTATCACCTAGATGATTGCATTGGACTAGTGTGTTTTGAGTTGTTCTTTGATTGTGTCACTCTAAGCTTTTAAGCACGAGTGTTATGTCTCTTGATTGAAGCTGTGAAGCAAGATCAATATTTGTTTGAAGTGTGTCTTCTTTTTAAATCTGTAAACTAATTGGTTGTTATCACTGCTGTGATTGAGGGGGAATGAGTAGGAACTCAGGCCTAGTGTTAGGCTGAAGTTGCATTGGGTAGGTCTTAAGTGAAGAGTGCAAACTAGTTGTTTGGCTCTGAATTAACACTGCTTATAGTGGATTTCCTCCCTGCCTTGGTAGCCCCCAGAGTAGGTGTGATTTGCACCGAACTGGGTCAACAATTCCCTGTGTTATTTACTGCTTTCTTTAAGTGTTTACTGCTTAGCTTAATATTTTATCCAGTAGCGGATGTCATAACATCCGTTATAACATCAACTGTCTGTTACTAGAATTTCAATTAGCATCAGAGCAGGCACCCTGCTTGTTATTTTCTGGGTGAGATCTAGGGAAGATAAATTCTGGTATTATGGACAAGGATATGGGATTTACAAATAGACCACCAATTCTGGATGGATTTAACTATGACTACTAGAAACCTCGTATGATAGCCTTCTTGAAATCTCTGGATAGCAAGGCCTGGAGAGCAGCTAACTCAGGATGGGAACATCCAGCGAAGACAGAGAAAGATGGATCAATTATGCTAATACCTGAAGAAGAGTGGAGCAAAGAGTAAGAAGTTTTGGCTATTGGGAACATTAAGGCCTTGAATGCTATATTCAATGGGATTGATAAGAATATCTTCAGACTTGCGCATCACTGTGAACTGGACAAAGAGGTTTGGGATACTCTCAAAACAACTCATGAAGGTACCTCTAAGGTCAAGATGTCTAGATGGCAGATGCTGACTACTAAGTTTGAGATTCTAAGGATGAATGAGGATGATAACATTCATGACTTCTACATGAATATTCTTGAGATTGCTAATACCTCAGGAGCCTTAGGAGAAAAAATGTCAGAAGAAAAACTTGTAAGGAAGATTCTCAGGTCATTGCCCAAGAGACTTGCCATGAAGGTCACTGCTATAGAAGAGGCTCAAGATATCAGCAACATGAAGGTTGATGAACTCATTGGTTCTCTCCAAACCTTTGAGATGGGAATGTGTGAAAATACTAAAAAGAAGAACAAAAGCATAACTTTTGTATCAAATACTGAAGAGGACTCAGATGAAGGCAATGGTGGAAGTGAAGAAAATCTATCAGAAGATATAGCCATGCTTGGAAGACAATTCAACAAACTAATCAAAATAATAGATCAGAAGACCAAACCTAATGTCAAGAACATTTCCACTGACATCAACAGAAGAGGTAAATATGAAGAAAATTCCAACCAAGGCAAAGGGATTCAATGCCATGAATGTGAAGGCTATGGTCACATTAAAGCTGAATGTCCCACTTACCTCAAGAAGTAAAAGAAATGTCTAACTGTCACCTAGTCTGATGGAGATTCTGAGAGTGGATCAGAAGAAGAATCTACAAAACATGTCATTGTACTAACTAGTGTGTGTGTGTGTATTTGATGATGATTCTAGTGAAGATGAGCTGACTTTTGATGAACTGGCAGCATCATACAAAAAGTTGTGTATCAGAAGTGCAGAAGTGTGCCAACAAGGGGAGAAGCAAAAGAAACTCATAAAGGAGTTGGAGGCTGAGAAGAAAGAGAATCTTGCAACCATAGACTCACTCAACAGTGAGATCAACTTGTTGAATTCCAAACTTGATCAGATGTCAAAGTCTATCAAGATGCTAAACAATGGGACTGACACTCTAGAAGAAATTCTTCAAAGTGGTCAGAAAGCAAGAAACATGTCTGGAATAGGTTTTGTTGATGAACAGGGACCCATCTTGGGGTTCAAGAGGCCAAAACCTAAAAATCATAGGTCAAACCAGATGTCACGACCAATGTCTCAACATCAGGGGAACAGAAGCAAGAACCAGACAAAAAGAAAGTTCCAAAGGTGGAGGTGTCACTACTGTGGAAGATTTGGACACATAAAGCCTTTTTGCTTCAGGCTGCATGGATTTCCAAGCCACACTCATCGAGTCAAACCCAAACAGGCTGCTCCTATCAAGAAACCAAAATGGGTTGCTAAGGATGTTGCTTTAATAGCTCATACCTCTCTAAGTGTATCAGCCAAAGAAGACTAGTATTTTGATAGTGGTTGTTCTAAACATATGACTGGAATGAAGAACCTATTGGTGGACATCAAACCTTATTCCACTAGTTATGTGACCTTTGGTGATGGAGCTAAAGGGGAAACCAAAGGTGTTGGAAAACTAGATTATCCTGGTGTTCCAGACCTAGATAATGTTCTGCTGTGAAAGGACTGACTGTAAACCTTATTAGTATCAGTCAGCTCTGTGATCAAGGATTCAATGTTAGAATCACTAAGGAAGAATGTGTTGTCACCAATGGAGAAAATGAGGAAGTCATGAAGGGGTCTAGATCTAAAGACAATTATTACTTGTGGGAGCCTAAAGATCTCATCATAGAAGATTCTAAAGGATGTGACCCTATTATATGTGGGTATTGTGATGTTGATTGGGCTGGGAGTGCTAATGGCAATACATCTGGTGGCAGATGTTCCAACTGGTCTGGAGGAAGCCAATGATAACTAAATACAATGTCATGACATTAAAATGTAACATTCTTAGTGCCATCCATATACCTAGAACTCAAGTCAGCATAGCAGAACCAAGTACAATGATGACAGACATCGCTTTAGAAAAAATCTTGTGGAGCTTGAGGACACTGGATTACAAATTGCTGACATTATTACAAGAGATCTTGAGCCTAATCAATTTGAAAATTTAAGAATCAAGTTGGGAACTTGTCTCTATGAGGAATTATAGAAATTAATGGTTTTTGGGAATTATATTTTGAACTGGCTAAATATTAATCATCGTCTGATTGGTCAAAATTTCAAGTTCCCTCTTCTCTTGCAATCATATTACTCTAGCCCCTACACACGATACGTTTGCTTCATTTGGTATCCATACCACTCCTTCATCTTCCATACCTCCCTCAACAACCACAGACAACCTTCTTTCACATTGTCAAAGCCTCCTGAAATGTCTCAACAACCAGACTATGTCTCCCCCAAGAAAATGTCCTTCATCACTGATCTGGATTATGCTTTACTGTACCATAACAAGTGCCTTTCTATGGAGCATGAAGGATATGAAGATCAAGTTTGTTTGGTGGGTCATAAGATTTTCTAAAAAGAAGTTGTGTTAACCAAACAGTGGCATTTGGTTATTTAAGAAGTGTGCCTAAAGAAAATTACTCTTGTGCCGAAGGGTAGTTGTTTGAAGACCAAAGGAGGTTATGGTTCTGTTCA